AATTCCACATCATTTTAAGGACTGAGATTAGGATTATTTTACATGAGTAATATACAATGCAAATTTCTGTAGAATTAGGCAAACAACATGACCAACGCTTTGGATTCAGGGTCCATTTAAAAGGAAATGTGGTTTGATGAAAACAAATAAAGAATTAATAGAGAATATGGTAAAACAGAAGTATTTTCTCAGTACTTAATCTCCTCTTCAGCTTCCTCCTCCTTATAATTGCATAGTACAACATACTTAAATAGTGATATGAGGTATTATTGCTTTCAGTATAGGAGGTTATAATTTAGCAACACCACTATTCTGTTGAAATTTAAGAAATTTAATTCATAATACACCTTAATAAAAGATCTCTACTTACGAAAACAGCATTAGCAAGCATACTACCTAATTATGAATCATGATTTGCACATTTAAAACAGATTCACAAGAGTAGCAATGTTGATTCTCTAAAAAAAAAATCAAGTCAGAAAACTATAACATTAATTCTTTTAAAACAAGGTGAATAGACAATATAAGTACATTTACCCTTCCTTGGACAGTCCATTTCTTCATATGGACAAGTCTAAAGCACCTTGATCCCTCTGTCTCTTTTAATCACTTTTTCCTAGACAGAAAAATAGCAGAAGTAATGAACTGCAAAAAAAATTACAGATCTCAAATTAACAACAGAGACCTATTTAAAATAAAAAAATTATTCATTTATCACTACAAATTTGACACTACTGTGCCAATACGAACTAGAATTTCAAACCTTGTGGTCAATGAAGCATATAATAGATTGTCAGAAATACTGTCTGTAATATGAATCCACTGAAAAAAATGCTTGCAAATACCTGAGATAATTCAAAAATATCAAAACTGGCTGAAAACACCTCTAAAAAGTCTCCACCTCCCTTTCTCAATTCATAAATGGTATTCTCCTATATGACAGTTTCATAGAAGTCCTAAAAATAATAATAATGGCCAGTCTTCGCGAGCGAAGATCCGGGGAAGGTCTCTACACCTTCCAGCCTGCGCATTGGATTTTTTTTTTAGGTGAGACACAGTGTGCGTGGAACTGAGCCCACCCTTTAATCCTAAGGTTCATCTGCCGGGGCCAAGCGAGCTTGGACGGTGGCAGCGAGGTCCTTAGGATGTAGATGGATTGCCTTTTTAAGGGTTAACGAGCTCCACCTGCCCGGGAGTGGCCCTGACCGGGAATCGAACCCGGGTCTCGGTGGTGACAGCACCGCGCCCTTACCACTAGACCACCAGGGGAGTCCTAAAAATAAGTTTCTGATTTCTACATTTGAAAATGTTGTGCATTACTGTGGTAAGCTAAATCATTCTTATCTTGAACTTAATTACTCTGTAGTAGAAACTAATAGCAATATAGTAATCTTTCCCTCATACTGAAGCAATCTTCCTGGAAAATTCAAGAGGCTCACTGTTATGAAGCCATGGTGTACTAACCATGATGTTGTATGTAGAATATTACAACAGAAAAACAAAAATGAAGAGGCACATTGAAATTAATTTTTTTGTGGCTGTAACTCAATCAAAACAGAAGTTAAAAATCATTGTAGAAAAAATTCATACTTGTTAAGCTCCAACCAAAAGCAATCATCTCTCAACACAGGTCTGCATTTTGGTCAGCGTGAATTCTACTGTTCCATGTTAAAGCTCATTAAGGAAAAGGATGGCTGCATCAAGCTGCAATGATTCTCTTAGCACCTCGGTTGATTCGGCTTGATAACTTCCGTAGGTCTACTTTCCATGGCACCTGGACACAAAAAGGTTAATGAAGTGCTGTGTCCCTCTCTTAGCTGACCTTTTGGCCAAGATAGTTTTGGCTCTTCTGATACTGTTTCCTGGCTGGGCTACTCTTCTGTTCCTGATCGCTCTTCTATTATTAAGTGAGGATGCTACAGATCTAAAATAATCCAACCCTAAAATAAGAGCAATTACATCAAGGAGGTAAAGGATAACAAATATCCCTTTATAGATTCCCTAATTCCAACAATAATTAAACCCAAAGAGTATTCAGCAAACTTTGAGTTTTTCCTTATCTTCATAGTTCAGTAAAAAATATGCCAAGCTAATCTGTTGATATACTAAATAAGGGGGAGGTAGTGGGGAAATATATATTCTAAGTATATTTTCCCCAATGAGATTAACAGAATGGAATAGAATATTAAAAAAAAAAATCCCGTCTGGAAATATTTATAAATAAGCCAAAATTAATAAGGAATTAAAAAGCAGGTGCACTCATTGAAAAAAATCAGAATCATCTAAGAACTCCCAGCTGTGGCTTCTTTCAAAACACTGACAGTCTCCAACACAGAGTTCCTGAATTTGTCAACAATATCTCACCTTTGTTTTGGCCAGTGGAGAAGAGTGGCTGGTGAGGGAAGCATTTGAACACACTGCAGAGAAACTGGACTCATTGCCTCAGAATGACGGCAACAATTTGGGGTTAAACCAACCCTGCTTTTTGATGCCAGCACATGGAGGGAGGTATTATTTGCAGCTGGAATTCAGGAATGTCTGACTGCTGACAGAAAAAGAGCTGATGGCTGGGTAGGACAAAGGGGAATAAAATAACTGTCCTTTCATTGTGCAGCTACTAGAAGGCACTCCAACACTTCGGTTTTTTTTTTTTCCTTTTTTGTTAACTGCTTCTCCCTCGTGCATTTAGCCCCTGTAATCACACAATACACAGAACACTTTGGTCCAAAACATTTGCCAGATATGGAATCAGGAAAGGAGGAATCTGGAGTTTTGTTTCCTCACTGATTCCAACTGGCAAAGATTGGAATGTTTTTGCAATATTTACAGTAATTCAAAGGTAGGATTGTATGACTAACCTTGATTTGAAAATCTGAGAAGCAAGCTAGGAATGAGTATCCCACTGCAGCTTTCAGCCTGTATTCAGAGGCAAACACATCCAATAGCTCTCAGCAGTAAGCCCCTGGACTGTAAATATAACGGCAATCTGAAATCTTCGTGAGTTTCCATTTAGTATTCTTACATCGTAAGTAGTAACACAGTATTTACCAGTGATTGATATCCAAGGAACATAATCTGTCTTACAGCAGGTTATTTATTTATACATGAAGAGTCCTGCAGCTGTGCCTGGAGACAGAGTGGATGCCCTGTGAAATGGAATGGATGCATATAAATGCCCTGTACTTGGTGTCAAGCTGTGACCTTTTATCTAAAATTCCTGAGGTGGTGCATCTTCACTCAATCCTATGGCAATGGCTTACTGATGTTAACAAAAGAGTGTGGACAGGAACTCCTGTCTCCTCCTCCTAGTTCAGATTCGTTCATGGCTCGGATTCTTGTACGTACAAACAACCGGCAGTATTTTAAATGTATCTTCTCAGTTTGCCATATCCGCAAATAAATCAAGCAGTGAACTCAGGAACATCACACACGAGACCAGGTTTAAAGTCAACTCTTACTCTTTTGCTTGAGCAAAAGACAAAAGCATATTTGCCATTTAGTGCAATGCTCATTATTTGTATGAAAGGAAAGTGAGGGAAGGTAATGCATGGTTATCTGTGGCCAACAGCGTTTCAAAATTATCAGCTGCTTATGTGGCAGTTGGGTCCATTCTCAATATTAAAAGTTTTTTTATTTAAATTTTATGATTTTCAGATTAAGGGACGATTCCTCAGTAAATTCATAAGTAAATTGCACCACTGGAAAGGATTCATTATCAGTTTTCCATTTTTTTGATGAAAGCACCTAACACAGAACTCCCACACAACCCTACTCAACATATAAAAGGACAATATCCGAAGTTCAGAAATTTGCAGATATGAAAGTAAGGCAAGTCTTTTGTTTGAATAATGGCAACACCATTATTCCTGTGAGAATTATAGTAACAAATAAAATAAATAAATATCTCAAACTTTTTATCTCGAAATACCTCAGACTTCAGAAACATGAAGTCTACCTGAACTCACATTAATATATTTGGCATCTGTGAAATTACCATCAAGCTCCTTCAAGGCATGCTGCTGTATGGAGTATCTTTATATGCACATCTTCAGGCAAGGACTTGATCTCTCTGTGATTGATAGAGGCACTTACCACAACGGAATCATAATCAAGACCCAGATCCTCTGGAGAAATAAGTACAAATAATAATGACAGTAATGCTTTAATATTCTACTAAGCAAGAATCATCTCTGCTTTCTTGAACTGGATATTTTTTCCCCTATCATTTACATAAATAAAATGTTGAGGTTAACTGATATCACTGTGACCACACTCCCGTCTTTGGTAGAATACCAGCCAGAACTAAACAGCAGTGTGATGAAATAGCATCACATTAGTGAGCCTGGTTTTTTTCATATAAGTATTTTTGCAGTTGAAGAACTTATCTACAGAGCAGAAAGGAAAAGCTTGAAAAAGCAAAGGAAAATTTTATCATTCTAAGAAATCAAGAACTCCAGCATTTCAGACCACAACTGTATGTGCTTCCTGAAAATGGATGCAACTGTATACCCCAGGGGGACAAGGGACTGTAAGAACCTGAAAAGATTTTTATGTTTGGAGGTATATGAAATATATTGTTTTGGGCCAGTAGGGAATGTCAGATAAAAAGCTTGTGGAAAAAGGCTGGATTTAGAATAACAATCCTACCCAACACATAAGATCATTTGTTGCCCCCCTCCTCCTCTGAGGTCCATAAAACATCCACATTCCATGTTAACCCCTGCAAAATGTAGTTAAGACACAATGTTTGATGAAGATAAACTCCAGATCTTTCAAAATAAAAACATAACAACTAAAAGGATAAATATTATATGGCAAGCAATATATCTATGGTAAACAATTCTGTTGATGCAATGTCATTTGTAATCTTATTTGTTGATTTTGGAAAAACATGTTTATTCAGAGCCTGCAATAAACAACCAAATGTTCTTTCATCAGAAAGTGAAAATCAACCAACTTAGTTAAGAACTATTCTAAGAACACTTAATAGCATCCAGGTTCAGTGACTGGTTTTCTATTTTAAGCAGGAAGAGAGGTACAGCACAAACAATCCGGAGGATAAAAGCCTGACAGCAAAATCTCCACACATACCAAAGAAAATAACGTGTGTATGACAGCTACAACAGCAGCAATTTTCAGCTTCTTACACGACTCATGCAATGCACTTTGCAGTCATCCCTCTTGCATAAATCCGTATGTTAAAATTTTGTGTTCCAATGGATCGTTTGAATGCTCCATATCTGCAAATGAGTCAGATAATACAGAGTGTGAGAAGTGATTTGTGCTATCAGTGACATCAGGAGTTTTGCAGCTGTAGTTATTAACAGATATTTTTTCACCCGCAGCATTGACTAAAATCAATCACTCTGATAACCAGGCATGGCATGAGCTGTCCGCCCTGTCATTTCAGTCTGATTAATCACACATACACAGACCTTTACCTTAAAGAAGCAATTGTTCACATTTAATCACAAAGATACATTCAAGCATACTATCATAGATTACTAAATTTAAGTGCAATTTATGTCTTATGGTTTGGCAAATACGTTTATGATAATATGGCTTTGTCATATAGATGTATTGTTTCATTCATTTTACAAACATTAAAATCTAAGCTAATGTGTTGTACTTTGAATCATTTATCACATCAGATTTGCAGCTTTTGAAGCTTTCATTATAAACATATCCTCATCTGCAGATTTATCCTAATAACCCAGGTAAAGATAAGTTATTACATCTTCTTCAGACTGTGCTGGCTTGACACTAGACATCATCTTCATCATGGATGAAATGACTTTATTTTACCTAAACATCCTACATTCTATTAACTGGCCCTTCTTTTGTTTCAGTTTTCCTTTTAACCTTGGAACAAAGCACAGTTCTTCCTTAAGAGTTGTGCAGGAGTTATTCTTTCTCTTTTGGGTTTTGAGGTGAGGTTTTTTCATTTTCTTTTTTTTTTTCTTTTTAAAAGGAAAGACATTTAAGAGAGTTCTTACACAAGCATAATACTCTGCAAGTAAAAGCAGACCACTCTGGTGAAAGCACACTGCTATGCTAAAAAAAAACATTGAATTTGAGATACCAGTAATATATTTGACTCTACGAGAAACATCCTACATTCTGGATACACTTCTTGATTAGGCCTAAGCACACAAAAGCATTTAAGTGTCCTGGAGTCCACCACTCTTCAGCAAATCACATGGGCATATGTTTCAGTTCAGAAGCCAATGAAATAAAAGAATATGCTGAAAATTGAGTATAAGCCTGAAAGCTGTGATGATAGAATTACACAATACTGTAATTTTTGGCTCTGTTGCTAAAGAGAAGTTGCATGTAGCAGACAGGTTATTATTTGTTATGCATATTAAGTAGGTGACTCCTTAAGCTTTTAGCTTCTTCCAAAGTATTAATTCACCAACATTTCACAATTGGGTATATTTTCTGGAGGGCCAGACCCATATGCTAAGAATTATTTCTTATTTACTGTTTCTATACTAGATAATACTTATGCTTTGAAATACATACTTTTCCAAAGACTGTTGCACTTAGATCTATATAGTAATTGCCTGATCAACATTTTTATATTTTACATTTAAATAAATATAATGTTAAATAATTTAAAAATATATATTTTATTTAAATATGGTCAAAAAAAATTAGTTAAAAATATAACACAATGGATATAAAGTGGACCTTTCTTTCATTTGTAGCCCAGTGTGCAGGAAGCCCTCAACAACAGGCTTCTGCTCTGACTGCTCCCAACTGTGCTCTCAGGAAATGACAGGTGTGATAGGTTGACGAGTAACTAAACTCTTGAAAGAGAGAAGAAAGCATTCTTCTGCCAAAGAATTTTGAAAAGAAAAGCCAAAGTGGTGGAGACATCCAGAGAGTTGTTTATGTTTAAATAAATGGCAGAGGCACAGATTCACTATCAGAATGCAAGTAATTACTCAAAACTACACAATGCATTTATTTCCTTAGTCATGAACTGGGATAGAGAAGGATATTGCTTTTTCTACCATATCATGCACCAACAGTACATACATTATAAAGCTTCCAGAGGTTCAATCGTCATTCTGTAACGCAATCAACAGGAACCAGGCAGAACAGAAGAGGGGTGTAATCACCACTAGAAAATTTAATAAGAGTCCCCCTTAAGATAGACAACACTGACTTTTCAAAACATTCCTACTCATCACATCCTAGAGTATTTTTCAGAGCAAGAACAACTGTCAATATTATTGTGTCCATCCAGTTTAGCAAAACGCTATCACCTTTGGTCTTGATGTTGCAACGAACCTTTATCATCACATAGAAAACAGGTAAGAAAGAATCACACAGCAACCCATACTTTATGGAGAGTGTTTTACAGGGATACACTACAGCAAGTGATCTTTTGATCTTTCTTTGCCTCCGGAAAAAGATTAAAGCAAAGATTTTTGTACATATAATCATATAAAAATTGGAAATCTAGAAAAATGCAACAGCAGATCAGAACATTAGTCCATCTCCATTGCTGTTACCATCAAGGAATGTGCAAAATACCTGTCACTGATCAATGAAGATAGTATCTCACAAGTCACAGGTTGTGTCCACACAATTGTCTTCAATAGCTATTCATTATCCAGTTCTCTGTTGATTTTCCAGTCTCTTTTTAAATCTGTTTGTACTTTAGACCTTCCAAAAAAAGCAGAGAAAGGCATTCTGCAGTTTAAATTCTGTGGTTCAGAGGGAAAACAGTCTAAACCTACCAGCTCATAAGTCCTCACTTATCCCCTCTGCAGCAATCATCTTTGTATCCACCTCTACCAGAGCAATTCCCACATATGTACCTCTTCTTTCCAGTATGTTCAGCCTGCCCTTTTAGAGAAAGTCATCTAGGTATACTGTCTTTGTTTTTTTCTGAAGACTGTTTGGTAAAGAGCTGGACAAATAAATAGTTTGAATTTCAAAGTAAATTAGAACTCTACTTCCCTCTTCAGAAGCTGAAGAGCCATTAACTATGTCCTACTGTACCATATTTTATTAATTCAATTTCTTGTTCCACAGCAGCCTTCTGGAAGAACTCTTTAAAACATTCGGAATTTATCACCTCACTTTCCTGTTTTACTGAATAATGTGTTATTAATAAAAAAGGTTAACAATGACTACCAAAATCATCTATTTGGGGATAAGAAATTTCAGCCTTTTTTGATTTTGCCACTTAAAAATGCTTTTCATGCTCTGATTTTTCTGTATTCTCTCCAACATTTTTGTAATGTTGCACTGAGCATTTAAAAAGTAATTCCTATTGCTGATTTAGAAAGGCATACCAGCAGGTTTTCATTTCTTTATGCCCATTCCTTACATCTTACACATTAAGACATTTCAACCTGTAATTAGAAAACTGATCTGCTCTGACTAATGACAAAAAGAAAACAACACAGAATACAGGACATGATAGGTTTCCTACTTCTGAAGAGTCAACATGTGTGGCTAATTCTTCTCACCACACACACAAAAAGTAATTTTTGAATGTAGTAATGCATTTTTAGGCTCTTGAAAAGAAACACTTGTTTTTACAACACAAATTTAGTTTAAAGAGTTGACCACCACAAGATATCACAAAAGCCAAGAATTTCACAAGGCCTTTTCTACCCAGATCATAATGAGTATCCTTCAAGAGAGGAACAAAGTAGTTATCCATTAACTGGGTAGAAAGAATTTCTCTCAACAGACATACTACTTTATTGCCATATGCTCTTCCAAATGTGCCCAATGTCAGATTTTTACCTGATCTGTAACAGTCATATTTATTTTTACTTCATTTCCTAAATGGAAATACATTTAGGAAACAAGGAAAGCTGAATTTTTCTTAGAGTGTAAAAATGTTCTTTTCCTATTTAGCCTATATCAGGAAGTCAATATTGTAGCTATCTTCTAAAAAAATCCTTGGAGTGGGGGAAGTGCTAATTTTATTTTTTTTTTCCAAATATACTGATTTTTTCTAGAGTCTGTTAAAAGATTTGTCACAAGAAAAACACTAAGGAAAGATGATGCTCTGAATTCTGTCATCATCCCCTCATGTGCCAAGTCCCCAGACAGAAAGATATCAAAAAGGAAGGTTCTTACTGATTTAATAAAATGACAAGGTGGAGAAAAAAAATAGAATAGAAAAAGATTCTCAGAATCTGTAATCAATATTAATATTAGGGGGAAAGGGTAAAGGACCACATCCAAACCAGTATTATGAAATAAGGTCACTAAGATACTTTTTGTGCATATTGTATCATTAATTGATGTAAATATACACCAAAAAAGCCCTTCTAATAATGTATTGAAAATTACTCTAAAAACTGCATGGTATGTTCTAAGTGCTTTCAACTGTCAAGATAGATGTTGATGGTAAGATATGTGTGAAAGCATGCATAAACTTTTTATTTTTTCTTTCTTTGTAATATATTTGTTATTATAACATTACCTAAATTCAGCTTCAATAACATAACCAAAGTCAAGGTACTGGGCATATAATATATTGCTATATATCAAGAGCTGAGCAGGCCTTTCCTTTTAGTTACATAGCAGTGGTATGGTCATAATTGACATTTTTGTCACGTCATTTTGTGAAGTCCCAGTTTGTGCCGCATAAATGCACAGAAATTCAGCTGCATTTCACTGCTCTCTTTACGCTACCTGCCATTTTACTTTCTGCTCCTCTCCTCCCTGTTTCTTCCTTCCAGACTTTCATCACACGTGAGAACTCAATGTTTATTCTTCTGCTTGTTGACAGGAAAAGAAAACAAACTATAGTGTCTGCACACTACATGGTCCTGAAAAAAAATCAGCAAAACTGCAATCATCATCCAGATAAGGTCCTCTAATTTCATTCTGAATATGAAGCATAATTTAAATCACAACACTGCTAATGCTGAAGTTGAAAAGAAACAACACACATCCCTCAAAAAAACCTCCAAACTCAACAAAGCCCAGAACATTTTACAGAATGACAGAATCAGATATGATTAATGCTGTATGTTTAATTCTAATTTTTCTAGAATAGATTTAAGATAGGACACATCAACCATATTAATATTCAAATCTATCCCTTTAAATATCACGCAGTCACTAATCAGAGCTGAAGGGGACTGAGCCTTTCTCACAGTATTCATTCTCATTTTAAAATGACTTAATTCTGAGCTATTTTGTATTCAAAACACTTTTCTTTATCTGGCATGTAACCCCTACAGTTCAAGTAGTTAAACAAACAGCACCTAATTTGATATTCTACAAAATTAATTTCAATAGAGCAGCTGATGAAGAACAAAGGGTTCACTATTTTATAGGTATTTCTAAAGCTTGTCCCTCCAGAATTAAATCTTCACAGCAGTCACTTCATAAACAAGTTTCGGGGTTTTTTGAGGCATTACTTACATATGCAGTAGAATATATTTCACAAAACACTTTGTTGTGCTGTCGCCATATAAACATATCTTAAAGGAACTAAACTAAGTTATTGAAAAGCAAAGATTTCATCGGAGAATTATAGGGTGATTGTGGTACACAAAACCAAGTGGAGTTCCCACCCTCACAACATTTATACACAGGTTCTATTTAGTGGCAATGTTTGCTTCACGGAGTTATCACCTCTCACCCATCTGAAACTATCAGCTAAGCTTTTGCTTTTATAACAGGCCACCGAAGCTGTATCTACTGGTTTTTCAAACTATCACCATTTACTGATTTTCTGTATTTTAGTCTAGTTTTTTTTCCCATTTCTAATAATAAGATTCAGCTTGTCTTGTCACACTTGAATTGCCCAAGATAACCCTTTCTTTCCCAGGATGACACTGGTTACAAACCAGAATTATCAGAATGCAAAGGGAGATTTTTTCCAAGTCCTATTCAAAAGCTGGAATAGCAGGATTTTTGCTTTTGAATATCATGTAGAAATTTAAAGCACCTACAAAGACGGACAGAACTTACTACAGTAACTTGGAAAGAGACAATATTAATATCCTAGGTATTTCTAGCATTTGAAAAACAATTATTTGGTATTTTTTGTATACTGGCCCCAGCAAGACACATCTTCCCACCAGTTTCAAGACAGCTTTGCACAGGGCTCCCAGGAGTGGTGCAAGGTCCTCCCTCTTTCTCAACCACAGCAGCACTCTGAAACTATGGTTGCACATCTGGGCAAGAGAGAGCTCTTATTTATCAGCATCTGCATTAGTCACTCAAGTGACTCAGCAATGCCCTGATGTATTCAAACCAGCATGAGGGCACAGAATAAGAGAAGGCTGGGCTTGGCACTACCAGAGAACAGAGGCTCTGAGGATGGCCATGACAGCAGTTGAGGATAAACCTTTCCCCACTCCAGCAGTGTCAAAGCAAAATTCTTCTACCCATTCAGTTCAGAAAAAGGAGCACCAACTCACAATGCTGAGCTAGGAAGAGACTGAGGGAAGTATGTTTACAGGTAATTAATGCATACAACACTTACACTAAGGTCACTAATAGACCCTTGGAGCAGGTACCAATGCACACAGAGGCAGAAGGGTCAGCTTGTCTCGGAACCACATTTTCAGACACAATAAAATCTAACTGAATATATCAGTCCCACCACTCCATACTTATTTCTAATTCCACTTACACAAAAAGACGAGGAGTCCTTTTGGCAGGAGTTCCTCCCTCCCTGCTTTTCCACACTGCTTGTCAAATCACAACAGGCTTCACTACTGCAGAAGGAAATCAGCAGTGAGCTCCTTCCAAATCTGGACAAGACAGACCCTTCTAGAACTTCCTAATTTCTCAGTATGATCTACAGTATTGGCATTTTTATATCAGTCTCTGACATCTTCTCTCTTGAAACCCACACGTTTCACCCACTTTCTCTCTCTTTTTGCCACATCTACTTGGCCGGAGAGCACAGTATTCTGTAAAGCTCCTTACACTGTAGGAGGGCAGCAGCAAGCACAGAACATATGGCAGAGGTTAAATGAAACTTGAATAAATCTTTTGTCTCTGAGCTGTTAGGAGAAGAAAGAATTCAGACGAGAGGAAAATAGTGATATGAATAAAACCACTTACTGCTTCTTGAGCATGTCTTCTACCACATTTCCAGCTTAGAGTAATCCAGCAACTATACTTTTACTTTTCACTTGAGTTACAGAAGCCTTACACTCCTGTTCCCTGATCAAAGATGTAGGCCTGCATGGATACACTGGTGGTACTCACTTCGTCCCATGAATTTGGAGACTGGTAACTCTCCCCTCAAAAGCCTGCTATCAGCACTATGTAAAGCCTTTCATACAGCAATGGCAATATATTGGTTTCAGAGCTATAAACCACTTGAAGGAGAAAGAGACTTTCCTAACAGCCCATATTGATACCCATCTTCAGTATATTCCTTTGATTTCACCCACAGAAACAGGCCAAATTTTCCATCAACACCTTGTTTCTTCCACAAGGAAGCTCTCTCTTTTGTTGAGGAAACCCTGCTTTGTTGAGAAACAGCTCCTTCAACCTTTAGTTCCTCATGTAAGAAGTGTCTCCCTTTGAGTCCCTTTCCCATGTTGCTTTTTTTCCCTTATAAATTGTATATTAAATCGCCAGCTCAGTCACAGAGAAGCAACTCTGTGTGCAGATGTAACAGCAAAATCATTCCAATGGCAGTGTCCCTTCCATACGCATACCAGTGCTCATAAAAATTGCTGGAGATTTCTTGTATATTTTCCACAGAAACTGGGAAAAGATACACATCATCTAATACAACAATAGGAAAAAAAAACACTTCAAAACTCATCCCTTTATCTATTTTATGATTTGACTGCTCTGTTACTGATGCTGCTTTATACTTATCATCAAGGTGGTCTAACCCTGTCTGTGCCATTGGTCTGGTGCCAGACACCTCTACAAGCCACAAACAGAGGCCCTGCACAGCAACCTCCCCTCAACTGTGTGCTGCACTGAGTAACAGGGATCAGTGCCCCAACATGGGTTAAGAGGATTGACAAGCATCTGACAGCTGCTAGATTTTACAAAGTTTAGGTGACAATGCTTCCCACCCACCTTCCTCACCTGTTTGAGACCAGAGCAGAGAAGCAAGGCTGGTTGGTTGGAGCATATTGACAAGATAAATGCATGCCCTTGAAAAAGCCCCAGTCCTACTGACGTCAAAAACCAATGGATTGGGTCCCCTGTCAGACACAGAAAGCAGACATCTGCTTCACTACAAATGCGAAGTGGAATTCATTAAGTCAAGCATAGTCTTATTCCAAACTAAACACTATTAACATTTGAAGTGCTTAAAATTTTTACCAATGTAAATTCCCTTCAAAGTCCCTTGATTTCCTGTGTTAAATAATGATAAATGTTCAAATCATTAATTTTATTATTTCTTGTTCTTTTATTGTTAAATTTTGTTGAGGTTTCTTGATACTTTCCCTGTGCTGCTTCCCCCTCCCCGCTCTATGCATTTCTCCCCCCTGCTGTGTGCATCTGCTGTGTCTCTCTCTCACTTGCTCTCTCCCTGCTGTGTACATCAACTATTTCTCCCCACCACTCCTATATGCATGTTTGCCATCTATCTCTCTCCCCCTCCTGCTGAGTGTATTCACTGCCTCTCCCCCTCCCCCAGTACGTGCATCCATCCTGTATCTTCCTCTGCCGCTGCAGAGCACACAAGCCTTTTCTCAGCAACTCCTACTGGCATTCATGCACACCTTCCTCTGCCTGTCTTCCCTCACGCCCTCTCCTCTTTTTTCATCCCCCTCTTTGAGCATCCCTTATCCCTGCTCATCTTTATACTTTTCTCCCTTCCATCTCTTTGATATTCTGATTTCTTCACTCTCCTTATCTGCATCACCCTTCTCTCGGTCTCCCCTTTGTACCATTTCTCTCCACTTCTCTCTGATCTGTTCTCACAAATTGATTCTACAGGAAAAATGTTCTGCTCTTGCTTGTAGATGTGTGCAAGCCCGCACTGCAAACCATTCAGCACTGTGTCAAATCTAATGGTAGTCAGCTTTATTTGCAGAAGAATCCTTGTTTCCTACCATTAGGCACACAGGGTAAAGTCTCCCAAAACCCTTTCCTGTCCTTTTTTCCTCATATTACTGCACTACAGGGTTCATTTGCATGTAAAGATTAAGTTAAGATATGCCTGTGCATACCTGCCAGGTTCTTACTAGTAAAAGAAAAGGATCTATTATGACACTGAGTCTAACTGCAGTTAAGGTCATGACAAACTAAACGTGCATTATTTGGTACAAAATAGCTGGACAGAAACAAATTCAAATGCATCGTATGACTTTAATTTCTCTATCCAACTGATGTATAATAACAGTGCCTTATTTAATGATCAGCTAATTGACTCAACTCTTCCTCTTCATCAGCAAATTTTATCAACTTTCTCTTACTTTCAGCGTCCATGTAAGTCACTGATCACACAACTCATCCTTGAGGAACTCCAACAGTGATACCTACACAAACCTGCACTTTCTCATTCAGCACTAACCAATACCGACATTTAGCTAATCACTTATATTACTTATAGAGATCCCCAGTTTTCCAGTTTTGACTATTAATATCCAGATATCCAGTACAGACAGATAACATCAACCATACCTCCTTGGTCTAGAAATACATTAATTTTAGCAAAGATATCCTTTCCGCCCGGCATAAGGCACCATTAGTAAACCCCTGAAGCATTTATCCCACTTTGCATTATTTTCAAGGCTTAAACAATTATCTTTTCTGTAAAATGTCTCCTATTGGCTTGCCAAGATTTTGTTTAGATTTTCCTTTTTGGAACATACATAATAGATTTG